CAGCTCCGGCAGCAGTCACCTAGGAAAATCCTGCGACTTAACTACCGTGCATTATAAATGTAATCATTTATGGAGCATTTAAAGAGGTATGTCTAAATAATTTACTGATTCACGAACAATTGTCAAGGCTAACAAATTAATAAGGGCTCGCAGAATCGCCTGCCCGACGTCCCAGGGCGACCAAATATCAGCGTCAGGCAACCAAAAATAAATAGGGTGCGTCCCGACGGGCAACCTCTTTAATATCTTTTTGTAACATAATAATCTGTTAAAATGTTAATAAAATATTTATAATTATCACAGGGTTTTTCACCTCGCCGGTCATCCCTGTCCGGCTCTCAAATTTCCGACCGGCATCTAAACTGCACCATTTTTTACAAAGACTTTTTCAACCTTAGAAACATAATTAAACACAAAATAACAAAACTTGCAGTGGATAGGCCCACAATATACTCATTTATACAGAATGAGTGTGCACGTCTTTGAAAAAAAAAAAGGTTTAACAATTGTTATAACACACAACAGAAAGCAAACATAAACGCCATAGTAACAACAAAGTTAATGATTTTATTATGATGATCAATGACTAAATTAAAATGACATGTAAGAAGTGAACGTACAAAAAAGCAACACTTCGCTAAAATACAGCTGAACTACTGAAACCATGGCACATTTTGGTATCGCTGAACAAGGCAGTCGGTCCTTGAGGAGCACCAGCGCGTTTACATTCCTGAAGGCGGCGTTCAAAGAATCAGATCAGACACTAGCGCGTCTACATTCTTGAGTTGGCGGCGTATAAAGAATAAGACTAGTGTATGTGACTGACCTTGTGTCTGCTTTCTCCCATGCTTCTCCTGATCGTGGGAACCTACTTGTGTGGGAACGTTTCTCACTCTAATTTACTGTTACTAGGCAATTTGCAGTAATGCAACTGGTGGTATATATGCTATTTCAAACAGTTTCCTTCCGTTCATGACAAAACTAAGTGAATTAATTTTACTTCTGAACGGGACCGGTAGCGGCAGGATTTGGCTAATTGGGGTACGATGTCTTCGACGGGGTGGGCAAAGAGAGCGTAAGTGGGCGTGGCCGGGTGTCGCTCAACGTTTCTTGAATTGTTTCAGGGTTGAAACCCCGGAAAAGACGAAAATTTCAAAGGCTTATTTAATCGATTTTAGTGTCTTCTAATATATCATAAAAATACATAACTTTTTCTTCCCCGCCCCCCCCCCCCGATGAATTGGCCCCCCTCCCCCGATGAATTGTTTTTCTTCTCGACCGGGGATACCGATCGTTTCG